CTCTAAATTTCCCTCCCCCTTCTCTTGCACTACCAACAGCATAAACCAGCAACCGAAGCGAAACCAACACCAACGCCAACCAAACCACCAAAATCAAGAAGACCGTTACAAATAAGACGAATTCGACAGCGATACTTCCCCTCGGAGCTTGCGAATACAATATCAACCTCATGAGGGAAGTTTGGAAATATTCCCCATGGTTAATAACTCCATTCATCGCGTATAGAAATCAACATTGCGTGTAAAAATTAAATCTTCGAGAGAAGTAGTGATATCATCTTTATGACCATTAACAAGTTCAGAAACTTCTCTATCTTGATATCCATGAAACACTCAGTATCTCATATATGTACGTCTGTAAGGAACTCTCAGCGAAGTGAATCAACACATATTTCTTTCCGATAACTTAGCTACCTAGGTACCTATATTGAGTGTACTCGAATATGAAAATCATATACTGTTAACTATCCATCCCATCCTATCCCACAAAAACAAAATAAGAAGTAAAATAAAAAAATACACATGCATGTATATATCATAACCATATACATATCCACAAGTCACAAGTCCGAGTCTACACAGTAGCAGTAGCATCACAATTTTCTATTAACTACTCACTCACACATCAAAGAATCATCCTCATTCACTCTATCCAAACAAAGCTAAACCAACTAACTAAACTCTAATCCCCTTAATCCAGACTCTTCTCTTCTCTTCTCTTCAATATAACAAACATATAACAGTAGCAGTTGAAATATCAAAAGAGAAAAAAAGAAAAGAAAAGAAAGAAAAGCTCTGACAACCTTGCGTACTGGATTTTTTCGAGGGCCTTCTTTTTTTTCTTCTTCTTTTTTCACTTTCTGATCTAATTTCTGGCTGTCAGTCCTGTATAACTACCTACCTACCTAGTATACTTATAGACCAGTCTGTGGGTTTGTGACTTATAACACCTAGGTACACACACACACACGTGAACAACTACCTAGTAATTACGAAGAATGCTTGAACTTGAACACTCGCTAGAGCATTCAAAATACGTTCTTACATTCATTCCTCTTACCTGACTAGCGAACTGTAAGAGAAACAAAAGAAAAAGAGAAATCGTTCAATCCCCAATTTAAAACCCCCAGGTATAGAATAAAGATACAAGCAAGAGGACAGAAGAGAGAGAGAGAGACAGATATTAAATTTACAATTTCCTTGTGATTTTAAGTTTCAATTTTGTTTTGTTTTGATATTTCGGAACTCCACACACGATATTTCTAAAATACACAGAGAGAGTATACAACATCATCTAAGCTCTATAGCAAACAACCATTATATCAGAAAAGAAGCTCATCCATCTAAAATTTCGATCTTCATCCATCCGTCTTACCAACATTGTCAAAATCTACTCCTTCCCCCTCTGCATCTACGTCCCCCACCCTATCCAGAATCCTCATTCCACCTCCCTCATCCCACGCAATCCTCCCCTCCAACGCCGCCCTCATGACGTCCGTCCCCGCAACCTCCTTCTCCCCGGTCACCGGATCCCACTCAAACCCCTCCTTCAACCACATCCACCTCAAAAACGCTCTCAACTCCTTATCCTCGGGAAGCACCCTCATCCACTCAGGTTGAAATCCTTCTTCCTCACTGCCCTCCCCATTCCATCCCTTCGCTTTCTCCAACAACATATCCCTACAGAAAATTCGCCAACTATCAATCGCATAGGGTCCCTGGGTCATGTGTCCGATTTCCCAGCCCGTACGCGGGTCTGCGGATTCTTCGGGAAGGACCTCGCTTTTTTTGACGTCGCGACCGAGTCCTTTGGTGGGGTAATCATGGACCGCATACCGTTTATTTTTTACTGGTGGATTTTCGCAAAAGGTTTTGGCGTAAGTTTGATAAGTAGCTGCGCGTTGATTTTGTAAGCCTAGGTGTCGGATTACCGAGACAATGTCTTCTTTGGGAGCATCGACTATTGATTGTGGGGTAGGGTATTGGTCCATTAGGGTGTAGAAAACTGGGATGGCTTGTTTACCATGAGTGCGATTGAGAAATGTGACGGCTATGAGAAGTCGAAATGGATCATGGGCAAATTTTTCTTGGATAAGTCCAAAATGAGGTGCGGATAAAGGTGGAAAAGGGATACATGAAATTATGCCAGGGGGCCGTTTTTTAGGAGATTCCTTTTTGGGAGATGAATTTTTGATTGTAGATTCTCCTCTTAAAGCTATGGATTTCCTGGATTTAGATGGAGTGGCAGATGGTGGTAGAGCAAAGTAAGGTGAATGCATAGGCGGCCTTTGTTTCTTTCCTGATCTCAGAAGACTAGGAACGTCAACTTCAATCGTATCAAAACCGCTACTATCTGATGCTAGAAAGGGATTCTCGGTTATGCTTAGATCAGATAGCTCAGAGGAGTCACTCTCATATGCATTAAGATCGAGTGATTCCGTCTTCCTCAGGATAGGTAGTTCCATATCGTTAAATGATTGTAGCGTTTTCGACGGTGTTTGAGATTCGTGATTGAAATGTTCCGGGGACTCGCAGGTGATTGACTCGTAAACATCATCATCATCATTATCATTATTGGTTCCCGTGTTTATATCTGTTCCTCCCAATTCATCAATGGTGCCTTCATCAATTTCGCAGCTATGGTGACTCAAACTAATATCCAGAAGTTGACTACCACTCGTAGACTCTGGGTCTTCTACGAGTGGTTGGCTTTTGCTGATCTCCTGGTATTCCTAGCTGGAGAATCAAGTCCTGATGCTGAGGCAAGAACGGCAACTCTAGCTTTTGGTACTCTTCCGCGCTTGGCTTTTGGCGATTTGGATTCTCCTGAAACATTAGGAGATTTGGGGGCAGTCTGAGCCTTGTTTGCTGCCTTCACTGGAGGCCTGCCCTTCTTTGCAACTGTTGCCTTTGTTTGTGCGGGTGATTTTGTAGGTGTTTTAGCATTTTTGTTCTTTGATGAGAGAGGTGTAGCTGTGGGTGTCTTGACTTTTTGGTTCTTAGACGAAGCAGGTGTTGTAGGCTTTGTTGGTGTATCTTCAGCCTCCAAGCGATTATTGTTTCTAACTCTCTTCCTCGAACGCTTCTTTGCACTTGCGTTGGCCTCGACACCCTCCTTGGGCTCGTCAATTTCCATATCTGAATCGGCTACAGGTGCGGCATTCTCCTTGGAAAAATCATCTTCGGCTTTGTTTTCTTGAGCGGATGGCGAGGTTTCCTTGCTGTCTTCTTCGGTGATCTCCTCATCTGCTTGCTCCTCATCTGCCTTATCATCGGAAGTTTCTTCTGGAATCTTCGCATCAACTTCTGTTTGCGCTGGGGCATCGGACTCGGCGACAGACTCGGGACTATCTTCGGCGTTGTCTTCAATCAAATGGTCAAGAGAAGGATATGCGACAACATCGGAGTTACCGACAGCTGGTTCAGAGGTTCCGTCTTCGGCCTCATTCTCTTGCTTGCCATTGACTTCGGGAGCATCCTCCATAGTAACATCTCCATCTAACGCATCCTCAGCCTGGGCTACTGAAGCTCTCGCAGCAGCAATCTTTGCTTCCAGACCAGTAGGTGCGAGATTTCCCTTCTTGAGGTCCTTCCAACTGCGCTTCGATTTGATCTTCTTAATTTCCTCTTTTGCTTCTTCAGCAACCTCCCCATTTACCTCCTTCTCGACCTCTTCATCATCACTATCACCAATAACCTGCGCCTTCAACCCAGCTCCAAAGAATTCCGAAGTTTTCGGTCCCTTTGTTTTCTTCTCCCAACTCCTCTTCGCTCCCTTCCCCTTCCCATTTCCATGTCCTCTCTTCAAATCCCTAACCTGTTTCTCCAACGCTTGAATCCTCTCTCTATCCTTCCTCTTCTCCTCCGCCATCCTCTTCTTCGCCTCCGCCTCCTTCTTCTTTTCCTCTACCCTTCTCTTTTTATCTTCCTCCTGCTGTCTCAAATTCTCCTCATGTTTCTTCGCCTTTTCCTCTTTCTTCTGCTCCCTCAACCTAGCCACTTCTTCCTCTCTGATCCTCTTCGCCTCTGCCTTTTCCGCAAACTTCTTTTCTCTCGCAATCGCCTCCTCAGCCTCTCGTACTAGGGCCGCAGCTTTCTTGGGTGCACTTTTCTCTTCCTTCCTCTGTCTCTTGGCCTCGCGCTCGGCTTTGAAATCGCGTTTGCGTTTATTGCTACCGGTAGCTTGTTCACCGTCGACCGGCGCAGTGGTCTCATTCTGATTAAAAAGTTTAGTTATTTTCCAAATGCTCATCATGGTAAGTGCAAAGATTTGTGAAGCATACCTCATCTTGAGATGTTTTTGCAGACGGAGCGACCTCTCCCTTGGCTTCACCCGCATTTTCATTGGTCACTGTAACATTATCGACTTTCTTTTCCGTTGCGGCTGGCGACCCCGCCGCCGCAGTACTCTTTCGCTTTGCCATGTCTCAAAGGTTTGATGTAATTGTTCTTTGCAGATCAATTGATACAGAAATTAACAACTAAAAACCAAAGAATACAAATTTCGAGGCTAAAACCAAGAAAAATAAATTTGCGAACAATTTTGTACTAATGTAATAAAGTTTACTAATAGAAAAAAAAGTTTCCTGACAGGACTCGAAAATCTGGGGTATCAACTTTTTTTTATTTAGCGAGGGACTTTTTTCAGTTACTGCAGCAATATTCACCCCAAAGGGTCCACTGAAATTAATAACTACTAGTACAATTTATATTTATATTTGAGAGAATGATTATTTGGTATTGGGAGGTTTTGTAGTTTACAGGAGTGGTGATCTTGAAATTCATCATGTAGGGGGTTCGTGAGAATCTTTAAAAGTCGAATGGATATTGGGACACATCTATTTTGCTACCACTCTTGAGCATTAGCTCCCAAAGTGAAGCTTTTATCTACCACCCTCATTTAGAACTTCTCCCTTGTACAATTCGCGCAGTAAGATAAAACTAGTAGCACATTTATTTCCTGCCCTTCGCTCCCCGGTTAAACAAATGAAATTGAGAATCTAGTGATGTGCAGGACCGTTGCCAGTCTTAGGTGGGTTATACACGATCTTTCTTGTCTTGATAGGGGACCACTTGTAACGCTTAACCCAAATGCTCAATGCGAAAAGCATAGATCCAATAACCAAAACCTTCATACCCATCTTCTTACGTTGATCCATCTCAGGCTCGGCTGACCAGTTGAGGAACTCGACAACATCCTTGGCCATTTGTGATGCTGATGCTGGGGTACCATCTTCATACTCAACAAGTTCGTTGTAGAGAACACGAGCCATAGCAATACCGGTACCTGGGAAATATGGGTTGAAGTTGAGTCCTTCTGGAACCTTGGCTCCTGCTGGGGGCTCATCTGGGTAACCAGTCAACAAACTGAAAATATAGTTGGCACCGCCGTGTCTGGCCTTGACCATCAAACTGAGATCAGGTGGCAAAGCTCCGTTGTTGGCAGCACGAGCGGCTTCATCGTTCTTGTATGGGGATGGGAGGTAATCAGAGAGTTTTCCAGGTCGCTTTTCGATTTCACCCTCGTCGTTTGGCTCGCTGTCGTATTCGTTCGCTTCGGCCATAGCCTTTGCCTCATCGACTGTGTGTGTAACACCGACCAAAGCTCTGTATGGAATACGGCTCAAAGAATGGCATGATGCGCAAACTTCTTGGTAAACTTGGAAACCTCTTCGTAATCTATCCTTTATTGTTAAAACAGGCCAATTTGCTTGATAGAAAATGGGATTCTTACGCTTGGTGATCGAATGTCTTTGCGTATTGTTGGTGAACCCATGGGTATTGTGTTGGATGAAGACTGGTGTCGTATCAGTATTGTGTTCCAACTTAAATGCTGCTTGTCTTGTAGTCTTCATTTGGTATTGCCGGAGTTCCCATCACCCCGCAAATGTTCGACCTGACTTGGAAAGATATGTGACTACTCACCCTTCTTCAACTGGTGTCATAGCGTTTAATGGCTGGCCATAAAGATGATAGTACCAGGCGAGAGATCCTGCCGCCACTGCGGTAGCAGCACCTGCAGCCATGTTGATACCGAAGGGAGAAGCGGCTTCCGCGGAAGTGGAAGTGGATGCAGCACGCTGTAAGATATAACATTAGTCTTCAGTTCAACACATTGGACTGCCCCCATGCCATCACTGCCGCCCACATCGAAGTGTTGTATATCTTGACCTCGGGGATGGGGAATAATTATACCTTTGTAGCGTTAATTGCATTATTCCGTACTCCCCCGAACGAGCGCGTCGAGCGCAGGCATGATCTGGCCAACATATTGTGCAAAATATGCCTCGAGCTGGGAATCAGTTCAAGGTGGGTTTGACTGATCAATTGAATAATAGGATTCGAGATTGAAGTTGTGAGGGTGCGGCGACAAATAGTTCGAAAATGATCCGAAAAAGAAGCTAAATTATGCCTTAGGCACAGGCTTACCACTGAATGGATTTTGATTGGCTGAAACTCATTACACGATTATTTCTCGGACAATCATGGCTACAGAATCTCAATTATGAAAATCATCCCCGGTAATATGGAAGTTCAGAATGTTATTTCTACATTGTAATGAAGATATACTAAATGTTGAGATTTTTGACTATTTTACAAGCTGTCATGTATTTTATCATTTTGGCAGATATGATTCTTGCATTTTAATGCTGACAAATTGTATTAAGCACGACATGATTGGTCTTCTCACCCACGAACAAATTATACCAAAAATTGACTGCAAAATTATCTATATCCATTGCATTGCAAAATGTAACTATTCAGAAACCCTTTTTTTTTCTCAAACCAATAACTCCTTACTGACAAAGGAAACATGGCAATCCTCATTATATGCGCCCCAATTCCAACCTAACAACCATCTACTTCATCCGGGGTTTCTTGTCCTTCAATTGCCATTTGAACCATTCTTGAGCTCTCTTCTTTGCTTAACAGCGTTCGCTAGTTCTTCAAGAACCGACTCGGTGTCATCCCATCCAATACAAGCATCAGTAATACTGACGCCATGTTTGAGACCGGACTTTCCTTCTTTTGGAACCTTTTGAGCGCCTAACGACAGACAGAGTAAGCAAGTATTTCATTACGTAAAACAGTTAGGTGATCTTACCTTCATTAATGTTGCTCTCAATCATGACACCCATAATGGCATCCTCTCCTGCGGCAATTTGTTCAGCCAAAACAGCTGCAACCTTTGGTTGATTCTTGTGATTCTTCAATGAGTTTCCATGACTGCAATCAACCATCAATCTTTGTCTGACACCATTCTTCTCAAGCGCAGCTTTCGCCTCTCCAATACTCTTTGCATCATAATTAGTACCCTTAGTACCACCTCTGAGAATGACGAAACAGTCTTCATTTCCAACTGTACCAACAATGGCAGCGACACCAGGCTTGGTAACTGACAGGAAATGATGAGGATGTCGCACGGCACCAATTGCATCGATAGCTACACCAAGACTACCATCGGTACCATTCTTGAATCCAACTGGGAAACTCAAACCACTGGCCAATTCTCTATGCAATTGACTCTCAGTAGTTCTAGCCCCAACAGCTCCAACGCTCAATAAATCTGCCAAGAATTGTGGTGAAATAGTATCCAACATTTCACTAGCAATTGGCATTCCCTTCGCCGTCAAATCTACGAACAATTGTCTGCTGATCCTCAACCCCTTATTGATCTTGAAGCTATTATCGATATCAGGATCATTAATGAGTCCTTTCCAGCCAACAGTTGTTCTTGGCTTCTCAAGGTAAGAGCGCATGACAATCAAAAGATCATCTTCGTATTTGTTCTTGAGAGCTACAAGCTTGTCGCAGTATTCGAGCGCGGCCGCAGGATCGTGAATTGAACATGGACCAATGACTACCAGTAATCTGCCATTCTTATCTGCACCAGTCACAACATCGACGGACTCATTGCGACCCTTTAAGACGGTTGCTTTGGATTCTGGGGTTTGAGGAATTTCATGTTGAAGCAAATCGGGAGGCGTCAATGGGTTGTATCCTCGAACTGTAGGGAAACTTTGTCAGTCGCACTCTTTAATACAAGCGGTAGCGACGGGAATATCCAGTACTCACTGCGCCAATCTTCAGTACTGTCCTTATGTCCAACGTTCTGATTTTCTATGTAGAAGGCCTTCAATGAGTCAGAGTGGTTTCTTGTGAAATGAGGCATCTTGAATGAATAAGAAGAGTGTTTGTTTGGTAACTTACCGACATCTTTAGATAAATGTGCTTCTTTTATATTTTTTAAAGATACTTTCCTTCAACGGATAGATTTTTATATTCAATGAGTATGCTGAGGTGAGATTATTTTTCTTTGAGAGGTAGAATTAATGGTTCTGGAAATCTGTACGGAGTACGCGGGGCAATCATTGAGAAGCTCGAGACGTATGATTCATCGCGCAACAAAAGTTTTAGCGATGTCATTGGTGGGGTCAGCCCCTGCAATTATTAACGTGGATCGTTGATTGGTCTAGAACCCACGAAACGGTGAACCAAAATCTTCAGAGGAATCAGAACCTCGTCGTACAGTGAGCATGGCTATTACAGATCTCCGAGGGAATATCTCCGAGAAATAAGTTTAAATTGTCGGTCCGGAGACAATCTTACGGACCTTAAAGATTGATCTCCGAGGAAGAATAGGAAAAGAGAATTGATGTAAGCCATAATATTGCTCTGACCTTCTAATCAAAGACTTGCGTCTTCTATCTAGTCTTTACCGTAAGCCCATCCCATGTATTGCTATTGTAATTCTCACTCATCCGACTTGGCCAACAAATCCGGGATATCATCAACGGTGTTTCTGCCCTCTAAAATATCTGGTCTTGTTAGTATGCGAAATCTTTGCAAGTAGAGGTAGACTCAATGACTTACTAATGACAGCAGTAAATAATGGGTATTCGCCCTCCTTTCCTCTAGACTTCAAAAACTCATTGACTTCTTTTGCAGTACTGGTTCCTTGCAACTTTTGTCCATTCAATTCCGTCTTCTCAACTTCATCGACTGTAACTCCTCTTTCAATTGCCATCTTCGCACATCTAAAGTTTCGCCCTCCACTGCAACTTGTAATTAAATCGGCAACGCCAGCACTTTGTTCGGTGAAAGTACCACCATGAACAGTCTCTCCAAAGAATTCCTTGCCAAATTTGACCATCTCAAGGAGGCCCACTCGCATAACAGCCGCCTTTGCATTATCTCCCCAACCACGTCCTTCAACGAAACCCGCAGCTAGTGCAACGATGTTCTTGAGGGCTCCCCCAAGAGAGACACCTGCTACATCGGAAACCATCTGAACATGGAAATATGGACGATGGAATAATGTCTTGAATAAGGCATGATCCATTGGCGGATATTCCGATGGTACGGCCTTCAACTTTGTCTTGCTGACTCTTCCCTTGACATCTTTATGTTCTTCATCTGCAGGCGTAATGGTGAGGTTGACTTGAGAGCTTGAAGGGGAGGGTCCCGTTGGAGTCGTGGCACGCGAGTCCATTGAGGGAGGATCATAGGCAATCGTAGTCTCACACCATTTCTCCATTGCAATCTCATTGGCAATGTTAGCACCTGAGAGTGCTCCACAGTATATTCCTAATCCTTCACCGATCCATTCACTGAAAAGACTGATCTCTGAGGCTGTTACATTCACACCTTTTATACAAGAAATCCCACGCGCGAATGGTAGGATGTGTCCTTGGAGTTGCTTTGTGATACGACCGATAAATTGATGAGGGAGATTGAAAATCAAAACCGAGGAGTTCGCAACTGCATCTTCTACAGATGGGTTGGCGATGAGATTGGCTGGAAGCTGGATGTTTGGCAGATATTTCACATTCTCGTGGTATTTGTTGATGATCGAAGTAAGCTTTTGAGGAGAATCATTGGAGGCATCGTAGTGTTTCGAGTCTTTTGGTATGGTAACTTCCTCCTCATAAACCCACATCTGAACCTCCTCCTCGAATAAATCGGAATGTTGTTTTGTATTCTCTGCTACAATCTTTGCAATGGTACAGCCCCTAGCAGATATCAACAAAATGATCGATCTCTTGGGTTTGATTTAATAGTGACTTACCAGTTACCGGATCCAACCACCGTCACCTTGTGCTTTTTACTCCATGCTCCCAAGGTCGCCATTTTATTCACTTGAGGGGTATTGAGATGTCGAGCTGTCTGTGCTATTCTTCGAAGAGTTTGATTTGATGCTGCTGTAAATCTTATAAGCATGCACATATGCTATGACGTGAAAGGAGGAATTAATAGAAAGGATAATCAGCACACGCAAAGGGAGGCAAAATACCAAGTACTTTGAGACTTTGAGATACCAGACAGAATGTTGAGACAAAAAAGCCTCGCTTGCTCTTCTGTCACTTGTGATAGCTTGTGAATTGCTCGTGATTGAAGCAGGGGGCAGCTGACCGCTTTCGAAATTGGTTTAGTGTATTCTTATCACCATTGTGGCTTTTTCCAAATCCCATGGGAAGCTGTTTTGACGCTGTACGAGTACCCAAACGACAGCGGGATCCAATAAGCGCCATGGAAGTTATGGGTGCAGATGCTGTGGAAGTCCAGAAAGTGACAAATGACTTGCTGGTAATATTCAGTTGAGTGAACATTGGATGAATGTATGAACACAACATGAGTAGCCCAACTTGAGCATGAGAATTGCATTCGTGATTGTATGGCCTCTCTATCTTTTCATGTCGAGGTTTATGTGCTGAATTGGTGCTGGAGATGGATTTGGAGTGGGAGTTGTAGGTGGAGAAGACAATATGAAACTTTTATTGTGATGTAGGCACTTACACATATTGTTCGTATGAGGATTGTTATTATTCATGACTCTGGTAGTTGATAACTTTCTATTTTTTTACTTCGAGATGAAAACTAAATGAAGTTTATTATGATTTTAGCAGCCCTGAACCCCTGGCCTAGCCGTCCGTATATCTACCTAGGTTAAGGGAGGGAGATACCCGACAACCGAATGATGGTGTGAATGAAGTTAATTATTTGACTATTTTCGAGTCTAACAGCTAGGTGGGTGGAGGATAGAGTAGTACTTGAAAGCAGATATAGTATACAGAGTAGCATTTGGAAGCAGATATATTATATAAAGTAGTATACGGAAGCAAATATAATATATAGAGTAATACTTGGAGGTATCCGGTAGCTATAATATTCAAGGTAGTACTTGAGAATAGATATAGTATATAAAGTGGTACTTGATAGTACCTACTAAATATAGTATAACACACAAAGTAATACTTGAAGGTAGGTAAATATTTAGAGTAGTACTTGGAAGCAGATATGGTACCATAGAGTAATACTTGAAAATCGATATAGTTTACAAAGTAGGTAGTATTTGGAAGTAAGTATAATATTCGAGGTAGTACTTGAGAATAGATGTACAGTAGGACTTGAAAGTACCTAGTAAGTACCTAGTATACCACACAAAGTATCCTTCCAACCAAAACTCCTCCTCGTATATCTTTTCTTCATCAATATCATTTCCAAAGCTTATATCAAAATCCATTCAAAGCTTAAAGCTTACGGAAAGAAACTCGACGCTCCCTCCCTCGTAGATACTCGGAGCAAAGAACAATCAATGGTCTAGACCACCATACCGGTCTATCAGTCCCAATACAACCTTGCCGCCGCGTACCAGTTTTTGTTTGAGCAAATGTAAGAAATCCATCATTGTACCTGATTGTCACTTGCTAGGTATTATTTTTATCATGACGTATCACATTCAGTTTTTCCATCCTAAAGCATTGCAAACGCCGCACAACCAATCGATTCCCTAGTATTTTTGCTAACAAGCCGGGTCTTTCCTCTGGTTCGACCAGCATCTTACCCGCGCCCACTCTCCCACCATTGTCCCATATGTTCGTCTGCCCACCCAGCCCACCAACCCACCAACTCCAAAGGGGCCCGCTTCCAACCTACCTCTATCAAACCATCAGCAAACACTTGGAAGCTACCTATACCACTTAATTAAAACTAATGCACTTTCCTATGAGTTTTTCTTAAAAGTACACCTCAACTCCATCCCCCATCATTTGCTCCGTCTCTGTCGTTTATTTTTTGTGCTTCATATTCTTCTCTCCATCCTCACCTTTTCAAAGCCTGTGTCGTCTTTTTGATTTGTGCCGATCCCTTCTGGAACCCAGTTCTCTCACAATAATCGCTTTCAATAATATTTAACGTTGTTGGTTCGCCAAATCTGCAGCGCCAAAGACGATGGTTTCCAACGAAATCTATCTACTCCCTCTCAAGGATGATGGGAGTCCCGATGTATCTGGAGGATATATCTATCTGACACCTAAAGGCACAGAGCCAATAACTGTCCGTTTTGCTATTGAGGGAACATCTTCGATATGTCGAGAAGGCAGTCTTTGGGTGAACATTCCCGAGGAAGGTGTGGAGTTTCAACGAGACCAGTTCCGTGAATTCAAGTGAGTTTTTGCCTGCGAATCTCCATGGATTGCAAGAACTGACTGTATAGGTTGGAACCAGACTTTAATCGTACCATTGAAATCTCGATACCCATTCATTCAGCTGGCGCATTCGCATTTTATACCACATACAAAGCTCTGCCGGACTTGGATGACACAAATACCGCTCCCATCGAAACCACCAAATCCCCAGTATACTACATTGATGTTGCTCCAACTTTGAAGCTGGAAGGCAGGCAACTGCCTTTGCCTGCATTGTCAGTCTTCTCTGTCATTTCAAAATTCATGGGAAAGTACCCCAAGGATTGGGAAAAGCATCTCCGGGGGATCAGTGAGAGAGGTTACAACATGGTTCATTTTACCCCCTTGCAAAAGCGTGGTGAATCAAATTCTCCATACAGTATATATGATCAATGCTCATGGGACCCTGAGTGCTTCCCTAATGGCGAAAAAGACATCAAAAAACTGGTCAAGAGCATGGAAGACAATCATGGTCTTTTGGGATTGACCGATGTGGTCTGGAACCACACTGCGAACAATAGCGCATGGCTTGAGGAGCATCCAGAAGTTGGCTACAACGTGTCAACAGCACCATGGTTGCGTTCGGCTTTAGAGTTGGATACTAAATTGCTAGAATTTAGTAAAGATCTTGCCAAGCTTGATCTCCCAACTACACTCAACTCTGTTGATGATCTGGTCAAAGTCATGGCAGGCGTTAAAACCGAAG